GATTTGCTCGCCGGAGCAAAAGATGTTCCCAGTGGCTGCACCGTCGCCTGCATCCTCTTTGTACACTTTGTTCACACCGTGAAGGCGAGGCGAACCGCTAAGGCAAGAGCGTGTGTGTCCCCAGGTGGGCGTCGACCAACGTCGAGTGGCCGTAAATCCTGCCTAACGGCCACGCCGCCACCGCCGTCGAAGCTGCTCTCTTTCCGCGCGCGTTAGACCGCACCGAGAATCGTTGCTTCGTGGCTGAGGTAAAAAAAAAAGAAGAAAAAAAAATACCGCTGGCCAAGAGTGTGAAAGAGAGAGAGAGAGAGAGAGAGAGTGGAGCGAAAATTTTCGAGGACAGGCCCAGCCGGGCAGTTTGGTGCGTCGAGGGCGGCAGGCGCAGATCTGTGTGACACATCGAAGCACACGGTGCTGACTAGTGGTGACATTTAGCCGATAGTCGAGTTTCTGAAAATAATTTCTCTGACTTCCAGAGGAGAACCCGGGCCGCGAGATGGTTCGATGGAATTGGCACTGGTTCTGGAATCGTCGAAGGCTCTTTGGTCGGTAGGTGGGTGTTCGAGAGATTGTTCCAACTGTGGCTCTTTATGGGATTGTAGTTGCTTTGGTTCACAGGGTGCACAGGATCCTTATGAGAATGATCTTTTCTAGATCTATTTTATCCATTTGGATTCGTTGAAATTAACTCGAAAAAATGTAAGTTTGACGTTGATACGTTTATTTCAACACTTTCGTGACTGCATTATTTTTTTTACGATTTGTTACTTATCTGCCAATTATCGTATCTGTAATGGATCCTAAATTAAAATCAATTTTTGGTTGAGTACTCGAGTGGGACGAAAGGGTTAACGTAAAATAAGTTCGTCCTGAATAGATCAACTTCTATCGAGAAGAATTTTCTATTTTACAAAAGACAATTTGCAATAATAAGATTGGTCACGTTCAATCGAACAGGTTACCGTCGAAATTGCAGGCTCTTACGAAACCGAAGTCCATAGAAATAACGAAAAATCCTATTGCCTCAGGACTATTAACGTTTAGAAAGCAGCGGTGCTTATAGAAGTTCTAATATCTGAAACACCAACTGGTGAATCGTAAATTAAACCTCAAGGATGCTTTGAGGCTGCATTTCTTTCACTTTATTACACAAACCGCGAAGAGAACGTTAGGAAGGACCCGACGAAAAGAGGCTCGAGAAGTTGCAACATCGAGAAAGCTCCACGTGCAACCGGTGATGCAACCATTAGCCGTGCATTTTGTAACATTAGACCTGGAAGACCTTGTCTCACTCGCTCGACTCGAATTATCGTAACCGGATAATTCATTTTATAAATCGTCGACGAAATTAATGGCAATGTTGAATCTCTGCCTTTGGAAAAAGGATATTTTCGCCAGCGATGAATCGAAAGGCACGTGGTGCGTTTAAGAAAAGTTTGGTAAACTTTTGGAGTCGACGATGATCGAAACAGCAGCTTAAACTGTTACGCGTGATTTATTGCTGAAAATCGACGTGTATAGTATGTTCTCACGTGGATTCCTTTAAACGTCGAATTAAGTAGAGGTGTACTTTATCACCAAGTATCTATCTTTGTTAAATATAATATTATTTTAATTAATTAAAAATATTAATTCAAAAGAAAATCAGCGAGTGATTTCTTGATTTTATTTCAGAATTTTGAAATAAAAATTCAAACGTGCAATAGTGTTGACAATAGAAACTTGAAAATACGTTAAAAATAAGAGATTGATAAGATTGGACTCACCATCGGGAGTGGAGACAGTGCCAGCCTTGTTGATTTTCGTGTTCCACATAGCGGGGGTGGTGGGTGCAGGACTGAGATCAGGAGTCGGTGGATGAGCTGGTGGCAAAGGCACCATGGCGTGGCCCATCTGCCCCCCATGATGCACGTGATCCGAATTTGGACCGTAATGACCACCGTCGAACCCCCTTCCACCGGAATAAACTTCGCCTGACAATCTTTCCGCCAATTTTTCTGCCCTCTCCCGATCGGTCAGCGCCACCGGTTCTTGCTTTATTCGAAGATCTGCGCAACATAATCGAACAACAAAATTACGCAAACTATGCAAAACTGGCGTACTGAATCTAATCTCCGTCAAACGACTCGAGAAATGTTACAAACACGAAAAATTTCTTAATTATTTGCAAAAGATACTTTCATTCAAATACACTAATCTATATTACTAACTAATTTATCTTTTAACACCAAAAATAGGAAAATTTTTTTTGTTCGATTAGTCGATAAGGAATTTTGACGTGTAAAAAATTGAAGATCCAGCTTTTTCATTCATAGTGTCGTGTCCTCAACACGAACCACGTGACCGATCACCCCCACCGTTGACTTGCATCGCTTCTATCTACCTGCTAATAAGGGTTCGCGAAAGAGGCCTTTTTCTAGGAAATGCGTTGATTGGCCCTTTTTCCGAATTAGTAGCTACAAAAGGATGTATAAAGGTAGCTTTCGCAAGCCCGAAAGGAGAATATGTACGGAGAGAAGCAGAGCGTGTACGGAGTGTACATATTAAAAAAAAACCGAACAACGTAGTTTAACCTAAAACTAAACAACCAATAGGGAAACATCCATCGTGATATCTTCCAACCGAGAAATAAGATCACGGTAACAAACACATAGAAATTGGTATAGTTACAGTAGAACCTCGGTAGTTGCGCGAGAAGGGGTTGAAAAAGCCTGAAAGTATCAAGGTTCCTGCAACTATCGAGGTAACCAATTAACTCTGTGAAATCTATGGAAAATTGTATGAAATCTCCCACTTCTGCTATGTTTTACTGATATCGGTAAGACTAAAATCCTCGCTTCTTTACTATCGCGTGTCACCTGTCTTCCGGAGCTAAACAGGAAACAATCTCCCCCGCGTGTCAAAGAAATGCAACTGATAAGATTCGATAAGATTCTACTGTAATTATTTTTTCAACGGCGTTACCTTCAGCCACGCTTTCCTTGAGATCGCGTTCCTCGGACCTCGCTCGTTCCAATTCCTGTTCCAATTCCGTTGGTGTGTGCGGTGCTGTGTGGGGATGCGCGGGCGTTTCTGAAGGATGGATGAACGGCTGATAGAAGTGGTTCTCCATGAGCAGCGGATGTGGCGCGGATGCGGGCCGGAAGGCGGTGCCATCGCGCAGCACGCTTGCCCTTCCTAGGGTATCGACGTCGCTGGGCGATCTAAAAATATTTCCAAAAAAAAAAAAAAATCGCTGGATATCGTGCAGAAAGGGTAATCGAAGTACTGAAGTATTTTAGTAATACCGAAGCGACAATTCCGTTCTAAGAACACTACGGTCTACTGGAAATTACGTACAGAATCATTTCGTACGAACGGTAGAGTAATTTAATAAATTGAATTTTATTCTTACAATGTGATTTTTCATTCAAGAAGATGAATTTAAGGAAAGAAAATACAGCAGGGTTAATGAAAAGCTAGATTTGACAGGGTGTACCGTAATGTGTGGGCGTAACTTCATTATTCAGCGCAGAAAAATAATAATAAAAAAAAAAAAAAGTTCATATAAACGTTTGTCCTATCTGACCTTGTTTCCAAATTAGAGCCGCCTTTCTGTTGTACCAGTTGTTCATCTGTCTTCGCAGAAATTGCTCGAATACAAGCCTCTAAACGTGTTATCATTGACCTTCTGACCCGTTCGTAATAGTCATCAAAGTCGTACATGAAATATCAAATGTTCTTCATAAATTGAATGAAGAGCTCGGTTTGTTAAAACAGAAAACAAAATTACTGGAAGACAAACATTTGTATGAACTTTTTTTTATTACATTTGTGCACCGAATCCACCATTGAAGTTATGTCCGCGCGTTATGGTAGATCCTGTACACGTTACCTCGAAGAACGTCGTATTAAATACATCACCAACCACGTTATACGTTTCACATTCCCCCGAGATCCCGTTAAATTCATTCTAACATTACCCTCGACCAAGTACAAAATTCCAACGAATACTTAAACGTTATCATATAGAAACAACGCGATTCCCGTACATTTTTTACAAAACGAATTTTCACCTCGTCCTGGGGGCAAATCGCCCGGCAATAAAAGGGTACAGCGGGGGTCAAATATATTGGGCGGTGAAGGCCATTTCTTCTCTCTCACTTTTACCATTCGGCAGGTTAAAAGTCGTCGTATGCAATTTGTCCGCGGTTTTGTAAAAAAATTTTTGCGAAATTTCGAAATGAAAATTTTGAATTTTACGAAATCGACAGATCTCGTTTGGCAGAGTTCGTCGACGTGAAAAAGCGACGGAGGGAGGAATGGTCATGGCCGGCCAATATATTTGCAATACGTACTCCTACTGTAAGGCGCCGTAGGAAGGCCGGGAGAGTTCCGTTTGAAAATTTCACGCGAGCGAAGTCCTTCACACGTCGCGGTAAAAGGGCTTACCTCATCAGCCTTTTCGGCGGGTTTTCGTAATAGTGAGAGGTAGTGGTGTAGAGGCTGGGCACGGGGTAGGCAGAGACGGGCGACGGCGTGTGGGTCCTCTTCATGGTGTTTCTCACCATGGTTGCCTCACCAGCCTCGCTCAAGTCGCTCACCTCACCGACGCCGCCGCCGACGCCACTGATACCACCGCCGCCCACGCTACCGCTCACGCTGCCACCGACGTTTCCGCTCGCGCCACTTCCGCTCTCGCCAGCGCCGTTACTGCTACCACCGCTGCCGCCGCCGCCGCCGCCGCCGCTACCACCGCCACCCCCGGCGTCCGTCGACGAGTTATTGTTCTCCGCGGCGTGCCTCTGCGCTACTGCCAGCTTCTCGTGCTCGATGGACAGACCTTTTACCTATGATCGAAGGGAACGTGAGGGTGACGCGAAGGTCGAAGGTATAGGCGACGAGAGATTGCGGTGGTAATTTTGACGATGTTTTAAGGGGGAATTCTGTTTGAAAGTGTCGAAACGTTGATGAAGTATGGTCCTAAAATAGGCGAAAATATGGTCCTATAATATTAAGGGCAAATACGTGGAAATAAGGAAGATGCAAGCACACTTATGGAGATGCTTGCAGAGGACCAAAATTGAAACCGTAAGAAAGTTAATTTGAAAAGGGCGAAATTTCTTATTTTCAACATAGGTATCAATGAATATATTTCTGTTTTCTTTTGTTTCACGAAAGTTTACGAGGCGCTGTATTATCTATACTGAAACCATATAATTTTCTCGAAAATTATTTCACAGATCCATACATCGTGCTAAACGTGAATATTTTTCACTTTAGCTAATTGAAATGGGCTGAATAAACAACCTCAGCGAACCGCGGGTTGTTCATCACTGATTTAGGTCTTTCAGCGTCTTTTTTTACTGAATTTTATTCAGAATGAGGGTTGCTGCTATTTCATCCCAGAGTGAAAAATCAAAATTAATTTTTCTCAAAGTTAGAACAAGTTTAGAAATCAAAATAGCACAAAGATCTGATTTTATATTCAGTTACTTGTAATACCTTTAACTTATTTCGTATTGCATTAAAATCCACGGATACGTAACGACGTTTTTTCCTAGCAATGAAATAACAACACAACGTGATCTAGCACATTTCTCGAACGGGCATTGACACAGCGCCATCGTTCCCTACATCCATTCGTTGACGTTCCAGAACAGGAACTCCTGACCATTAATCGCGGCCAAAAATAAAAAGATGTTCCCCGAAAGAATGCAAGGTACGTGTTCACGTTCGAAACACGTGACTACTATTTAGGGCAATTATTTCAAAAGGGATGAAATAAGTCGCATACTTGAAGGCATTCGGCTGCTTTGAGGAAAGAGCTGAGGGATTCCTGGGACACATGTACCTCTCCACGGTACATGAATTCGAGAAGGGACGCCATATTGTGGGCACTCGTCCCGTCGAGAATAACGATCAGTCCCGCGGGAGAAGGAGGCATTCCTTCGAAGAGCTCCTGAAAGTGCTTGCTGCATGCTGCGAGGATTAACCTGTGTGCCTTGAACGTTACTCCTGAAACAAATAAAAATGGAGATTCGTCAAGTTTCATTCAGAACATTCGTCGTTTGTGCAGTAGAAAATATCTCTCGCGTAAAACCTTCTTGACATTCTTATTATAGAATGTATAGAAGAAATACAGCTGACACTGTTCTCCGTAGAAAAATGATTTTTTGTGAAAAATTCTTTCATTATATTTCATCGAAAGTCTTTCATTATACTACTTTATCCGCGCACACGGTCGATAATTTTGATCGATTCAGTTTGACAATAACACCGAAGCTCGAACTTTTTCGAAACACGTGGAAATTCATCGACGAATTTTTCAATCTCAAAATCAACCTTCTTTCTTCTTGTTTCTTTTAGATATCACTGCTTGGGTCTTCCATACGTTCCTTAACCCCCCTCTAACCCGATTTTTCTTCGTTCGTGAAAACAAAAATTACCATCGATCGCGATTTCTAATTTCTAAGAATTACGAACAATTACAAAGAAATTCTATAAACTATAAAAATCTAGATAAAGAAATACGTGACTTCCAAGTCACGTGTCGATTCAAAGTAGAATTTTCCAAAACCGTGGTAAAGAATAAAACTAGCCCGGATAATGGCTCGTGTATAACAAAAGGGGGAGCATTTTGCATAGGGTTGAAGTGTATACGCGTTTTCCAAGAACTACTCGACTTTCGCCTAGCCAGCGTGTGTCTATTCTGGCCTCTTTTTTTCTCACGGCTTTCATAGTTCGACCATAGACCGCGGGAATTTTTTGGCGTGCAAAGGAAGCTGGTGGTGACTGTCGAACCCTTTTTTTTCTTCCCACTCGCCTCTCCATTTCCCTCCGCGAGGCTAACATAAAGGAGCGCCGAGGAGGCAGCGGCAGCTTGACGTCGATGCCCTTTCTTGCAGCCCGTTGGATATCTAGGTCATCCTCGGACACGATCTTCCGTAATTTACAATTCACGTGCGCAAGTGTAACGTGCGCGTAATACGATATCGGTGCGCCTCTAACGAATATGGCACCGCCGTAACTTTGTTGTACTGTTAGGATAAACACGAATTTCCACCACTCCTTGCACTATGGGTGGAAGGCCATCTTCATTCCGCGCGTCAGTTTTCCTTAAAAGTTCTGACTTCAGTTTATTGGTTTTGTTAAGAGTTGATCTTCGGAATAAGAGAGTTAGTTTTGTGAACGGAATACTGAGACTTTTGAAGTCCCTGTTAAGCTGCGGCATAACAGTACGACAATTCCGTGAGGAACATACATGTGCCTTTTGTTCTAAGAATTGTCGTTAGCTTAAGCTAGAATAGGTGTAACCTACGTTGCATTTCAAACAGGGAAGAAAAGAGTGAAATTGGTGTTCTTTTTTGTCTGGTAAGTAATTCGGGGTAATATGGATTCGTGGGTGAAATTATCGTGCTAATTGATAACACGGTTTTCTTCTACCTTGAAAAATTAAGTTTTTGTAATTTCTTAACTGTTCTCGTTGGAATGATTTTATTATTTATTTTTGGTTAGTCTTTTATTCATTGTTTAATTGAAGATTGAATTGAAATTTTAGTTCTTGGGAGGATTGAGAACTGTTAATGTTTTAAGGGAAATTGATTCAAATTTTGTGAATGCAAGGTAATAATGTAATTCAAGATTCCTCAATTTGCACCGGTCCCTCAATTCACACGAAGTATGCGGTTTTTTCTTAGACGGATAAAAATCCCTTAAATGAAGCGTGGCAGTACGAGAAAAATTAAGAGGATAGTCAGTCTAAGTTATAAAAATATTTATTCCACAGATTTTCACAAAGAAATGTCTCACGCTGTAATCTTCTCGAGCCAAAGTCTCAAGAAAATTTCTCACACTCGTATCTAGTTTTGGTTCCGATACGTTTGCAATTGTAAATTCAAATTTTGCTTTACAGCAACTACGCCTTTTTAATAACTACCTATTTTCTCACACATAATTTTCTGCCAGTGAACGATTAAATTCAATAAATAATAGAAAAAAATATTTTCTGATCGCGTTAAACCGAAATCGTGTATAAAAAGTGTACCGAGAAAACGATATTGCGCAACGTAATAAACAAAATCAACAATGTATCGTTAACGCAGTTCTTGTCCCTGATAGAAGCACCTGACGAGCACCACGAAAAAAAAAACCTTGTCACCGGTCGATTATGCACGACCCTTCTGAAGATGAGAGGAGACGCAATAACACGATATCCCCCGAATAAGGAAATCAAGGAGAAAAAATGAGAGAGACACGCGAGAGCGAGCGACCAGGTGGCCGAAACCACCTGCCTGTCGGAATGGCTCGCCTAACTAAACCGTATCGAGTTCTCTGAGGCTCCTTGACATTCAGAGGATTCGTCGAAAAAAAGAGGAACTCCTGAACCCCTTCAGGAACCACCTCTTGCGCTCCACGTGCACTTAAACGACTCTAAAATCTACCTATAATTAAATTCGACTTAACCAACTCCTTTATAATTCTAACCCTATTAAACAAACACATCTCCCGTAATTAAATTCGACGGAAATTATCACACTTCTCTGATAATTCAGATTTTAGGATTATTTCAAATTGAAACAGAGTATTCACCCTTTCGCCGCGGCAAATTTTAATAAATAACGTGTCTGGTAAACGGCAAATTTTGAACCACCGGTGTAAAATTTGTAATTTTGGCCGTATCGTTTTAAACTTTGTAATTCTGGTCGTATCGTTTTAAAATTCGGTTTACTAAATTAAGATGAAATTGCGTAAAGGATAAAATTAAGCGTTAAACTAAGATGTAAGCGGACCAGAATTCCCTAACCTAACCTATAACGCGAGCAAATTTTCAAAACGCCTACAAGCGACAATAGCAACGAAAGGGTTAAAGAGTCCTCCAGTGACGGATCCTGAGGAAAGACTTTTGTAGCGAAACTCGTTAGCCTAAGAACCAGAATACACTTTCGGTTTCGTTTCGAACGACAAAAACGTCTCGATCTTCCCAAACACTTCCACACCAAAGAGTATTACAGTGTGGAAGTGATTTATATACATACGTGGATTACTCGATCAGAAGGAAAATTATGCAAAAGGGAGGGGGCGAACGAACGATTACGTGAGAGAGGTAAACGCAAAAATTCGGATATTTGCAACCTGCCAAATATAGCAGGCCGCGTATCGTTACAGGTACCCGAGCCAAATATACATCCTAAATGTGTGGTGTGCAGGGGCCAACGACCCAGTCGCGTGTGCGTGTGTGGGCGTTTTGCGTGGCGTGTTCGTGGCTTATGCCAACGGCTCATAACCAGGACCCGGAAACATATGCCTGGCATTCTCGCATCCTTTGTGTAGATCGACGCAGCGAAAATAAGACGCGGATGTATTTCAGCTCAGAATCTCTCTCTCCCTCGCTCGACACACACACAGTCACGGCAATCTCTACAAATCACGCGATGATACGACTTCCTTGACACATGGTAGCTTGTTCTTTCCTACATTGTTGCGTGTTAAAGAACGAAGGATGTCAATGTGTTCCTCGATTCTATTTTCCTCTATTCCATGCAAATTTACCGTATTTTCTCGTTCAAATTTATTTCTCGCCGGAACGAGAAAGTGACGAAGCCTAGGAAGCTCGAACGAACACGAGAAGAGTGAAAAGGATTTTTACGAAATATTTGTGAAAAACAAATTGCGGCAAGTTTAAAAATGTAGCTGAATATATGTACGCGGTAAATAGTTTGAAATTTCGTATCTTCCTACACGCCAATCTTGCTCGAATAATGCACAAAAGAATATTCTTCTTCGCCTAACGAAAGTTTCGCTTCTGGTAGCCATCATGGTTCATCGGTGACCCACACGCCACGGAATGAATAACTTTGGCGTTCAGTGAAGTATTTAATATTGTAAAAACCCTAACATGCACCACTTTGGCAACACGTGTTATTATAATAAACGTTCAACGCCTAAATTTAGATTTTTCCACCGTGACTCCAAGTCGTTCCTTTGAATTATAAAGAAAATGATAAAAAAAAATTTGGTCAAAACACTGCCTGATATTAACTATGAAATTAATATTTTACAGGTATAATTATAAAATTAATATTTTATGGGTATTGTTGTTAAATAAATTCTTCTATTTTAACGCTTCACCGCGGAATTATGTTTCTCGTCGAAACACTCACGCGCAATACGCATATTCCGTCGAGATGCCGCGCAATATCGGGGGCATATTGCAAAAATATCTGAACAAGGGTGATTACGTAACCGGGGAGACCTCAGGAGCGTGTTTATGGCATACGATTGCGTGATGATCCAGTCATTGGACGAGTGTAGCGGAGTAAGTTTCTAGCTGAATGAACCAGTAAACAGATAACACGGGGCATTGTTTATATATCGCTATTTTACCGCTATCGTTGCTTTACGACACATTATCGGCCCGACATTTGCTGCAAAAATTTTTAATCTCGCGTATTAATAGCGCCGCTCGAATTACGCGATAATAACACATCAGACACACATATGCATACATACACAGATATATATATACACCGCATCGATAATTCCCATTCTACTCGAGATGCCGCCTTTACAGCTTACAGCGGATCAAGATTTTTCTTATTACGATATAACGTGCCACTTTGAAAAGAATTAATCCTTTCGTAAAAATCATGTTTAAGACACCTATGATTTCGATAATAAATATTAAATCGAATTTACATCACGATTACATCGAAACGTGTCGATTAACGACGACAACAAAACACCAGTGTAGGTATCGAGTAGACGAACGACAGACAAACAATTTCTTAATAAGATCCATTAGCCTAAGAATGAGAAATTAATTCACGAAGTGTCTACACAGCCTCCACACACACGCACATATACCCGACCGTGTAGAAACTTGCAAATAACACGCGCTCAGTTACGCAACAGAGCAATGCACTCTTCGCGGGCAGTCTATTCATACTCCAAGGCCAGCTGCTCGGCAGATTTTATGGGCTAGGGTTTTCAGTTTCCTACCATGGTCATCGTTTCCT